GAGAGCCCGTGGGGCAGCCCAAGACAAGGTGAGCAGCCCAAGGTGAGGTTGCCAGCCCTGACTCAAGGGCTTCTGCAGGCAGGTGGGGAGCAGGAGAGACAGACACATTGAGAACTGCTCTGTTCTGCAGGCATTGTCAAGACCCTGCCAACGTCCAGAGGTAGAATGGTCGTAGCTGGCCCGAGAGCCCTGGAAGAGCCCCATGGACTCCCAGTAGTGGGACATGCATCCTCAGCCCCAGCCTGCAGGTTTGACCCTGCCCCTGTGGCCAGTGGCGGCACCCCTGGCATTCTGAGGACATACCAAGGGACCCAGCTGGGGCTGTCCAGCTCCAGGGAAGGCTGATCTTTTCTGGAAGCCCCAGACAGTCTGCCTTCAGCTTTCTACCCCCTCTCCCCTGCCTAGAACCCTTCTCAGACTTCCTATCACCGGGGGCAACATGTCTATACTCCGGCCTTCTCGGGGCCCCAGACCCTCCTCAAGGTGCAAGGATGCTATGGGCATCTTCCTCCTGCTGGCCTGCAGGCTCGTGCTCCATCTGTCTGGCTGATAGCTTGCTCCTGCAGTCCTGTCTCCCAGCTGCCCTCTTCATCCCCTCAGACACTCAGTCCACCCTGTCTAAAAATCCCACAAGCCCAAGTATCCCTTCAGTGACTACCTTCAGGGCCCCTTTCTTCTGGACTCCAGCCACAAAGATGGTGCCAGTCTGCAGCTGACACCCAGGGTTCTTGGCTTTTTAAAAATCCACATGTCTGGGGCCCACACTAGACCCCATAACAGTCTCACAAGGAGGCACCTGGGGATGTCACTTCATAAAATCTTTCCTGGGGATTCTCATGCCCACCCTGGGATCAAGCATTGCTGGTCAGAAGACAGTCATACTCTCAGGCTTGAGCATCTTCTCTCTTCACTTGGACATCCAGCTTGCAAAGACCGCCTGCCTCAAAGCAGGCCACATGAGCCGCACCTTTCCAACATGTGTTACTGGCCCGCTAACCTGCTGAAGGACGGTGGCTCACTCCCATGTGCTGTTTTCACTGGTCACTGCTTGACAGTCACAGAGCTGGCCTGGGCAGGAGCAGGAAGGTGGTGGCTGATCATTCAGGACTCCTGCTGACCTATGTCTCTGGATGGGGACACTACATTCCACCTTCATTCAGGAATTATATTCCCATAATAAGGGTGATTCAGAGCTTCAGGACAATGACACTTAACAACATATAGCATTGCACAGATTACAAGATATTCCCATATGCATCATTCTACTTTTCACATACTCTGAGAAGTAGGCAGAGAGGATAGTACTGTAAATAAAAAGGGATTTAACCTAAAACCTCCCAGCAAGTTCACAGCAAAGCCAGACTAAAACCAGCTCCTGCCTCTAGGTTAGTCTCTTCCACCTAAGCACACATCCTTCTCTTTTTCATCTGGTGTGTGCCTCTGCAGTGGTAAGCCCCACCATCCTGGGGCAGGGGCAGAGGCACGGGAGGATGGCAGGAAGGATTACGCATAGCACTGTCATTTTCTGAGTTCCAACTGTAGCTGAAGGGGCAGGCTAATGAGGTAGCTCCTTCTGGAAGCTTCAGAGACTGTGTCCTGGGAAGGAGAGCCACACCCCCAGGGAGCACTCAGGGGCTGAACAGATCTAAGCCCCATGAGTACAGGGCTCCAGCTAGGATCAGGCTGCTCAGAGGTTGTTGCAGCACCTGGTACCCCTCCTGGGCATCCATATGGGACCCAGCAGCACCACAGGCAGATAAGGAGCCTGCGCCTGCCATGTTCCTCAGCTGATGCAGTATTTCAGGGTCCGCAGCGCACAGAGAGCTCACTGAGCTCTGACTCTTGGCTTCCGGGGCGCAGGGAGAGATAGACCACATGGGACCTGCACAGAGAACTACTTAGCCACCAACCTCAGCAGGGAAAAGTATGTGTCTGTGGCAGTGGAGGAAGGGAAGACAAAGCTATGATTTCTCATTAATCCACGATATTATAAGCACAAAACTTGAAATTGGGGCACATCCGCATGCACAAGCTCCTGCGCTCTCCTCCGCTCTGCTCCCCCTGCCCCCGCTTCTCTCTTCCCTCCCTTCCTTCTTGCAACAAGAACAGCTCAGAGCCAGGACCACTCTCTGCTGGCTGGGCTGCCTAATTGGTCTCCAGGTATTTCTGCACAACCAAGCGACTGGTCACCATGACTTTGTCAGGAGAGGGTTTAGCACAAGCAAAGTGAAAGGCAAGAGAATATGGTTCTCTGCCCTTCACGAAAGTCTGTCCTTCCAGAAAAATAGCATGTAACCAGCAGCAGAAGAGATATTCTTCCTGCCATCCTGCAGATTTAACACACGCAAACTCCTAGGCTCAAATATCCAGAAGAGAAAATGTATCAGATTGACACACCTGTGTGAATCACAGAACTGTCCAGGCTTCACCCAGCAGGCTTGGGGGACATCAATTCTCAGAGTTGGAAGAAAGCAGTTGGAGGCTCACTGCTTTTCACCTGCAGTTCTCTGGCATCCACCATTCTCCCCAATCCTGGCCTCCTGAGGATTGGTTGTACTAGGTAGGCCACCCTAGAACTACTGTGAAGGGCCACCGTGCCCACTTGGCAATGCAGTATGAGCACCCAAAGTGGGCGGGGAGCCTTCCCTTGAAAACACACCATGGGGACCAGTCACAAATCCCTCCACATGCACTGCCCACTCCCCACTGAAGGGTGCAGAGTCCCGCCAAGATTAACATCTATGTCCAAGGGCCCCCTCATCTCCCAGGGGCAGCCCTCTGTGAGTCCTGGGCAGGGAGGTCTGGCTCAGCCTTCAGGGCCCAGTTACCAGCAGAGTCAAGGACAAAGAATTTGGAAGATGCAGCTTAAAATCCTTGAGACAGGGGAAGAGGGGGCTTCTCTGCCCTTGCAGGGCACTGAGCTCAGCCAGGCTGCTGGACTGTTGGACCCATGATGCCACCTACTTGCCACTCTCCGCTCCCAGAAATGCCACCACAATATGGCTGTCCACACCTCTAAAATGGCCAAGTGATGGTGCCCTGGGCTTGCTGCTTTCTCCACCCTCCCATAGGTTTACAGTAAGCAGTTTGTAAGGTCAAGCCAGTTTCACAATAGCTTGAGACTAGGAAAGTCCACCAAAACCCAGGAGGGGGTTAGGGCTTGGCAGGAAAAATGAAAAGAAACAACTTGGATTTACATATTTGTCCCCACAGGCTCTCCCAGGACAACCAGAGGAAGTGACTGACAAGCAGCACGGACAGCAGAACCCCCCAAAAGAGAAAAGTTCCAATTAGCCCAAAGAAATGAGAGCCTGTTCCCAGAGTCCCAATTAAATCAGAACCAATCAATGCTTGCTCCGGTTCCTGCCATTCTGCTCAGGAAATAATGAGAAAAACGAGAAGGCCCAAGCCAGCAAGTATAGTGTGGCAGCCCTTTGAAGCCCAGAGAAATCACTCGTGCACTGTGCTTTGCAAGCGTGCCTGGCAGCTGCTGCACCTGCGCCTTTAAGAACTCGGCCTGGTGCCTTGGTCCCCACTCAGACCCTGACTAGTGCCAAAGAGGGCGCCCCACCCCACCCCCAACCAACGGGACAAAGAAGTGAGCTGTGGGACTAGGCAAGGCTGGTTTTAAAACTGTCCATGTTGATTCATCGCTGGATCTGCCACTCTCTCTCCTCTGTTTCCACACCATCCATCACGGGTACCATAACGAAGAAATCCAATAAAGACACAAAGGCACAGCTCTCAGCTCTCAGCAGGCCTCAGAAAGGCTGTGCGAGTGCTCTGGCCCAGGCAATTAGCAGAGTCCAAAGGATTGCAGAGCTGATGGGCATTAACAATCTTGTGCTGGCCACCACGCCTGCAGGTGTTTGAGGAGCAAAACCAGTGGGGGAGTAAACAGGCACGGGCTGCTCTGGTGCTCAAACAGGGTGGGGGTGACCACAGAGAAGAAGTCTCACAGGAGGCTCATGATGGAGAAGGGGAGGGGTTGCTAATACAGTCCCCAAACTCCAAATGACTGGGGGCAACCCTACTGATATGTCAGAACCAAGGCGGTCATTTCTGAGGTCCTTGTGGGAAACCTTCCTCTTAGAAGAAACAGAATCTTTGAAGGTCACCAACAAAATTTAATAAAGGAAAGCAGTCTTCTCTCCCCCAACCCTGGACGCCCCTATGTTCAGTTTCAAGCACTTAGGCAAAAGATAAGATGTGGGGCCTCCGGATCCTTCTGTTCACTCCCAGAGCAGACTGAGCCTGAAGCCAGCCCAGCACACTTATTGCCACATGCTAGTCATGGGGTCTCCATGGCTGAGGAGAGCAAATGTGAGCACACAGTAGCCTGACACTCCAGACTGCAAAGCTTGCAGCACTGTGTGTCATTCAGAAGCAAAAGGTACAGCACATGAGACTGGCCCACTCCCATCCCAGTAGCTTCATCTCATTCCAGGACCTGGCATTGAGCCCCTGGAGCAAGACAGCCAAGCCAGAGGGCTTTGAATTAATGAGCTACATGGGTTCAGCACCAAGTTGAGTGCTGTGGGAGTTGGACTGAAATGAACTAAAATATTTTCCAAATTCAGTCACTTCTCAATTACCCTTGAGTGAATTGTCCATGGCAACTCAAATTCTCCATGGCCCAGAACCTGGGGCTGGATGCAGGATGCAGGAGTGAGTGTGTGTGTGTGTGTGTGTGAAAGAGAGAGAGAGAAAGAGAGAATGTGTGTGTTCCATAACTAAATATAACCAACTGGTTATTAAGTTATTTTCCAATGTTTGGAATTCTCCCCATCTCTTCCTCCCAGCATGACTATGAACGAATCTGTTTGGGCACAATTAGAAAATCATCAGGCCTAGTATTGGGAGTGGAGGTTCTCCAGAGCTTTATAATAAACCATTAGGCTCTATCTGTTCCTGTGCAACCCAAAGGTAGGAACCTTGCAGACTTTGGCCCGGTCCCAGGTGAGAAGGAAGCAGAGGCCCCAAGAGGCCCCAGGGCTTACCCTTGCAGGCTATGCTGTTCTCGGGCTCATAGCCAGGCTTGCAGGTGCAGCGCCCGATGGGCACCATCCATTCCCCATCCCCGTTGCAGTAGAGTTTGATGGGCACATCCACTTCCTCTGCATTGGGGATGCATGTGCCCCGAGCAATCACCAGAGATGTACTCTCTGCCCCTGTCATGGTCTCTGGGAACACTGCAAAATTTTGCACAATGCTGGGGCACTTTTTGAAGAAGACGCGGACAGAAAGGAGAGACATACAGGCTCCATAATCCTGGAAAGCGAGGTAAAAACCATTCCGAGTAAGAGGCCCAAAGCTTCTGACTTCTGTGTTGACTTTCATCAACCTTCCCCCAAAGTCCACCTGGGAGAAGCTCTCATCTGCAGCAATGGTGTCTACTTTGAGGTAGGGGGCCTCAGACCAGAAGGCTGACTTCTTGGTGGCAATGACTGAGTCAGTCTCATAATAGTACAAGTTGAAAGTCTCCTTGCAGGAGCCTGGGACATTGGGGAGGCTGCTGCAGTCTCTCACAGTGAAGCGCATCTCTGTGTAGATGCGATGGGCCCCCCGCCGGTTGATGAAGGTGGTGAGCAGCCAGTTGTTCTGGTTGGGCTCAAAGACATTGCACACCTGGTACGTGCGGATGGTGTTCAGGTTTTCATCGTAGCCACTGACTTCTTCCCACTGTAGCAAGCACACACATGCAAAAACACAAAATAGAGAGTGAGAAGATAAAAAGAGGCAGAACAGAGGAGAATCTTGGGGCTGAAAGGGGCCTTAAGAGCTCACCAGTCCAGCTGCTTGATTTGAGAAATAAATACATCTAACCACAACTTTATTTTAAAGATCTCCTTATAAGAAGACCTCATATTTCTCTGTAGCCCATCTTAAAATATAACAGACTTCATTGTAGAAAGCCTTTCCTTGTCTAACCCATAACTCTCAAGCTATGACTATGGTTTATTACATCCTTGGGGACCACCTACAGCTTTCAGCCTTGTGTGATGGCAGGGACTTTCTTCCTCACTGCCACAGCCTCTACTGTCAACAGCCACTCTGTGATTAGGGTTCCAATTACATGAAATCCCTGCCTTGAAAATCTCCATCTCTAATCCTAATTTTTTTTTATTGTGGTCATACTCTTATATCTATGAAAAGCACATGAATATAAAGCTTTTCAGAGTTTCTAGCAAACTTAGGTTCTCATAAACTTTTGTTTTACAACATCAATCTCTTTGAAAGAGCTAAACTGTAAAGCTGGTAAGTGTGGAGGGTGCTAAAAGAGACCTTTAACAAAGCAAATTAAGCTCCATTGTGTGCAAATTTCAGGCAAAGAGGAAAATGCTGGAGGTTGTTGCTTAGGGAGTAAGGAAAGTTTCTTAATAAGGGAGAGAAGATCATAATTTACATTAGAAGAGACAGCTCTCATTTTTAGCAGCCCTATAGACTGGAAGAAGAGGGAGGAACAACACGTTTATTAAGTGATGTCTTTCAATCTTCCCAACAACTTTGAGAACTAGGTACTGTTATACCCAATTTAAAGATGAAAGGACATCATGTAATTCACCCATGATCAATAACTATATGAGACGAAGAGGAGAGGAGCTACAAAGAAGTGCATTGAATAGCTGAAGAAATTCACTTAAGAACTTCTAGAAGATTATTTCAGCAACAGGTAATAAGGGCTGGGAGGAAGTGGGGAGAGGTCTGTAAAGGCACTGAGCATTCTGGAGCAGGGGTCAAAGAAGAGTTGCTGGGCCTTTCTTCCTTCTTTGTGCTGGGAGAGCAAAGGAGCTGAGGAGGCAGCTGCCCAGATCTGCAAGTTGTCAGGACCCTGATCTCTAGAACGGAGGGTATTCCCAGGAATAAAGTTAAAGTTACATTCTGCTTGCCTAAAAGAAGTAAGGAAGAAAAGAAATTAAACTTCCTAAAGTGAGCAAAGAAAATGAATTAAGACCCTTGAGTATTCAGCAGTGGTGATCAAGGTAACCAAATCATACCCATTTCTTTAAATACTGTGCTAATTGCTTATTATTCACAAGGTGGAATTTAAATATGTAAACCAGAATTCTTCACTAACAGAGATAAAAGCCCATTATGTGTGCATGGGAAATATGCTGTAGCTGCTTCTAAAAGCAGTTAAGCCCCTGTGGAGTCAGGAGGACAGAGGCAAGACTATCCTTCAAACTAGTGCCAGGGCATCTGAAAACCAGGCCTAGTGTGCAGGGGAAAGAAATGGGCACATGGAGAGCTGGCCCTATACACCCAATCTGTAAAGGGATCTCACTCACGGCCGCTCCTATGACTTGAGGCACCTGAACTGCAGTCTATCCAAGGCCTGTCTGGCCCCCAGCCCCTTCCAGCACTACCAGAATTCCAGTTCCCTCCCCAGCCTGAAGTCCTTGGTCAGCTCCTTCCAGGATCTTTGCACCAGTTTTGGGCACATGGCTATCCTGATTCATTGCCCTAGGGAAAGTCTCAGCTCACCCCTGCAAAGCACCCAGCACCCCATCTCTCACTTGATCCTCACCCAGCTTCTGTTCCTGGCCCACCAGCACCTCTCCCAGCTGCCCTTCACCTTCTGCAGTGCCAAGGACTTTAAAGGTCTCAAACCCACACGTCTGCTTCCCACCTCCAAGCCAGTTATCATGCTGCACCTTCTACCTTGCTCTTCTTTGCCTATGTTACTCCGGTTCTAGAAAACCTCCCTCATGCTCCCCGGGCTGGATTGGATACCCATCCTGGCATGAGTTCAGTGCTCCCATGTCACTGTGTCCCCACTGTAAGGACATATGCACACCAACACTGGGGCATCTCCCCCAGGAGCTGGTGAGCCCTGTGGGGCCTAAGTGCATCGCTGACACTCTGCAACCACGGTCCTGACATAGCCTGTGTGGCGCGTGCCATGCTCCGCAGGTGGACACCCCTGCCCCTCCTAGGCCCTGCCATGGGGCCACCATGGGACAGAAGTCTCAACTCCGGCTCAAGGAGAGGATAAATCCACACTGTCAAGCCTCATCAGGGCTTTGCTTAATTTTTATTGATTCTCTAGATGTAGAGGAACCTTTTTCTTCCTTCAGGAAGACTGCATTATGTTCTATTTAAATGCATTTGTTAAAGTTATGTTCTGCTCACCTGGTTTTTTGGAGCCAGAAAGCAAATATATTAGGAAGAAGAAGTCACTGACAGTGTTTCAGACCAAATTTTCAGACCTCCCTCCCTTTCCATGACGGTTCTGAAACATTTTCCCAATTGACCCTACCTGACTTTTGAGGGGAGGACTGTTTTCTTTTGCTGTTCTGCAATTGCTTAAACACAGCAGGTCTCACAATCCATTATTTTGATTGGGGCTCAGCACAAACGTGGGGCTCCTTTGCTGGTGCACAAGTGGAACACGTGGCCTCATTCAGGGTGGGGGTCTGGTCACAGCCAGAGTCCTTGGCCCCACCAAGATTAATGCAGCTCTGCAGGGCTCACCTTAGCACTGAGACTGTCACCACCAGTCGGTCTTTAAATAACAGAATGAGGATTTCCACTCTCACGGAGCTGGGATATTGAGAACATTTATCTTAGAAAATGACACTGATTGGTATTGTAGGACCCAACAGAGGTAATTGTTTCAAACATTAACCTCTCTGGGCCTCAGTTTTCTCATCTGTAAAATGAGGGATCATACTGGGTGACCTCAAGTCATAAAATTCTACAGATCTAATTGATTCCATGACAGCTCCTAAGGGAGCAATCAAAGCAAATTAGAGGGAATACAGCTGTATATTCAAAGGGAAAGAGCAGAAAGAAATTAAGAGAAAGGAAAACGACTCCCTGTTGTTTTGGGAAAGGCCATATCATGGAGTGGCACATTAATTTCTTTTTCTCTTTCGTTTTTCTTCTGTCAGCAGGTGCTACAGGGGTTGGTGAAATAAGTGATCAGAATGGGCTAGAGGAGGTACAAATGCTTTCCAGAGCAAGCGGCAATTAAGATTGGGGGCCTCGAAGAAAGAGAAGATTTGGGTTCATCGAGATGAGGAAGGAATGGCATTCCCAGCAGGGAGGGACAAACATTGCTCTTTGTTTTTGATACTTGGAATCAGTCTCACTGCATTATAGTTACACCTGTTCATTCATCAATTAAAAAAATATTTACTGAATGTCAGCTCTATGCCAGGCATTCCATTAGCCACTGAAGATATAGCAATGTTTGGGGATATAGCAAAGCTTATAATCCAGCAAGAGAAGCAGAAATTAGAAAATGGTTATTTAAATAACGAAATAATTACAGTTGCACTAACTGCTGTGAAGGAAAATTATGGGGTACTAAGAGGGGGGATGCACCTGATATACAGAAGAGTGTCAAGGAAAACTCTCCAAGCTGAGAGAGGACAGATGGATGGAAGTTAGCCAGGAGAAGTGTGTGTCTGCTGGGGGCAGAGAGGAAGTGGCAGAGCACCTGGGCCCAGGAAAAGCAAGTGCAAAGGCCCTGTGGTGGGAAAAAACACCCTGGTGCTGTTGAGGAATGAAGCCTGTGTGATAGGAGAGTCGTAAAAAGCTGGAGTAAGACTGAAGGGATGAATCAGGTCAAGAATTTTGAATTTTATGCTGAGTTTTAACTGGAAGTCATTGATGAGTTTTAGTGAGAAAAATTGTGGGTGACCAGAGCTGAGTTTTTAAAAGATCTTTGATGCAACATAGAGACTGGGTTGTAGGGCCACTCAAGTGTATGGGCAGGAGAACTGGAGGTCATAGTAGTGGTCCCAGGCAAGAGGTGATGGTGGGCTGGACCAGATTAGTAAAGACTAGAAAGATTTTGGGAGAAATCTCTAGGCCCTTGCTGAGCCAAGTGTCAGGGGAACAGACCAGACCCAAGGGGCCATGTGTCCCCTGAACACTTTCACTCACCAGTCCTGCCTCCCCACCCAGGCTTTGAGCTTTCCAGATTCTTAGCAATGTCAGTTCCCTACCTCACCCCTTTCTCCTTCCTTAAGAAAGGGGGGGTTTTACCAGTCTTGGACATACTAGCCCATGGGTGCCCACTTTCCTATTCAGGGACAAATTTCTTCACGCAGATCCTGTGCTGGCCCCAATCCCTGCACAGTGCTCTCACTGCTTACCCTAAGCCCATGTCTGAAAGGTGCTTTCAGTGGCTGCTTCTCGGCCTCCACATCTATGTATTTGACATATTGCCTCCCGTGTTTCTTCCTATAATTATCTCCTCCCACTAAAACAACAGCAAAGCACCATGATTTGCTTATCAGATTGGCCAAAAATTAAAAAGATAAATTGTCGAGTCTTAGTAAGAATGTGGGGTAAAGGGCACAACCCAAGCCTAGCAGTGGGAGGGTAAGTCGGTGAGATATTTTAGAATTCAATTCAGTAATTTCTCTCAACATTTAAAAGGTTGCCCCAAACTCAAATTAGTGGGGGGGGGGGAGTGAATTATTTTTTTAAAAAATTGTTGTAATAAATGGGTAGCCATCTGGAGAAAACATAACTACATCCATACCTCATATCTTACTCCAGGATAAATTCTCAGTGAATCAAAGATTTAAACATTAAAAATAAAACCACAAAAATACTAAAATAAACCATGGAGACAATTTATGTATACTAATTGTGAAATGAAACTCAGAAGCCATAAATGAATAGACTGATAAGTTCAGCTTTATACCATTTTTTTTTAAAAATGG